AAACAAAGAAATTCTGTATGCGTAAAATGATATCAATCCTGATTTCGGACTGACCATGACTTTGAACGTATATGTCCAGTTATCGTGAATTCTAGCGTGCTCCATATTTGATTCAGGAAGCAGACATACTTGTCTAGAGAAACTTTATATTAACAGATCAATTAAGTAGTTAATAAAACCTCTCTTTATGGTCGGCACGTGAGTGCAAAAAAGCACGGGAACGTTGGCATTTGGAACATGGTAGACCTACGCTCCAGTGTCCAGTTCATAGAAAAAATACAGTCATATGCGCCCAAGTTTATGATCTACTACAAAACGCTCAGGGAAAATATGCATAGGTGGGCTGTGTGAGACACATGATTAGATATAAGTTCTTAGTCCTGGATTGTTCTTTTTGTTTACTTTGAACGCTTGATAATATTTTCGTCTGTGTAAAAAACGTTTTAAATGGACCTCCATCTGTCAAGACAGACAACCGTGGAGATTTCAGTCTCCCCAACAACGTGCGAAATAGCCCGCCGCTAAGACAATTTGATTAAATGAAACGTAGATAAAACTATGCTTAGTTTTGCCGCGCACTTAAAAACGTAAGCCTTAAAATGTTCTTTTTTAACTTTTGAGTTGTTTCGCTTTTTAAAAGTGCTATCTCCGCCATCAACCAGAGCATCATTTATGGTCGTTCGTGAATAAGCTGTGTTAATTTATATGTAAATCTAAACTGTTTGTGGATATTTGCTAAGTTCAACTTGTTTTTGAATTTTGTATCGCGATTGTAAAAACGCCTTACAATAACTTTCCCAATTTTCCATCTTATTCAACACTTTCAAAAAGCACTACAACACTTTTCAATTTAATGGATAATTTTATTAGAAAAATCTTCGTTCACATGCCATAGATTTCGATACATTTATAGCTTTTGTTTCTTCAAATGATTGGCACAGACGATAATCGCAAACAACGGAGCAGAAAAATATTTTTTCAACGGCTAATGTTCCTGCCTGCAATGAAATGGCAAGTTTATTAATCAGAAGATAAATATCTGGGTAGGCGAAATGGGTTGAAATGAAATATGTCCGGCAGACCACTTTCAAATAATTTATACAAACACTCATCCTAATAGTCTACCTTCAGGGCGTCTAGTCGACTTCCCTTTTGACTATTTATATATAGTCGCAGTTATTTCTTAGCAACCCAACAAAGTGCAGGTAATAGGCTTTTAATTTGCAAAACATATATAATCGTCTTCTTTAAGAATTTGCAAGCATGCCATATTACGGGGGTTATTAACCGACTTATTTTTGCTTACCTGGCATTTACATATTAAAATATATACAATTAATCAATGCTAGCACAATAGTTGCAACAAACTATTTTTAAGGACTTCAAGGAATATAACCTTCCGTTTCTAGACCAGCCCAGACGACATTTACCTCGAGGATTAAATTTTTTCCATTTGCCATCTTGATGAGGACTTCCAGTTCCGTATGATATAAATGGCAGAAAATACGCCCAGTTTTGATGCAATAAACACACTCTTTCAGTTGTTGGACCTTTTTAAGAGATTCTAATAGCGCCTAAGGAAAAAGGTTTTAGGCCTTTTTAATTTTGCCACAGTTTGAGCATCACATTGAACTGTTTGTTCGCTTGCTTTGAACATATGACAACCGTATAGAAAGATTTGTACGGCCGCATAGATTTGCATTGCTTTCTTGCCCTAGTGAAACTATTTTTGTGTTGTCTTGTTGCAGGATTTTTCTCTTGTACTTGCAAGCAATTCCAAGAAGATGCCTATCTTTACTGTCAAACCCTCTGTTTCTTTAAAACTCTTGCACGATGAGCATTAGTTTTTTAAAAACAAATTGTTTAATTCTATTTAGCATGCACCTAAATTGCGGTAACAATCTGCACATACATATATGATAAACTTTAGTCAGGATTTGCGCGATAGAGTCAGCACTCCATTTCGAAACGTCATTTTTGTATATGACAAAAAATATTTAACTAAATTTCAAACCCCACAGCGTCTTAATGCTTTTAATCTTCAAAAGTCTGACGGCGGCTTGAGGACATCAGTCTCGTATATTTTTCGATAAGATTTTTGGTTGAACTTTTAAAGTCAAGCACAATCGTCAACCTATAAAGTGAGCAATTCTGTAGCATCTTCATTTACCAGCAGTTGGCGTTTTACGAACGTCATGGCAATTAAAAATTATTGCTTCAGCTTCACTTATGTCTTGCGTAAAAATGTCACCATTGCTTAAGACTTTTTCAACCAATGGACTTTCGTCGGAAAACGTTCCGTTTAATTCAGCACGAAAAAGTGGACAAGGTCCAAACTCATCAGATTGGGTGGTCCGAACGGTGTCAACGATGCTGTAGGAATGGGTTCAACAAATGAAAGGCAGTAAAAAGAGGTTTTTAAAAACGTTTTCTCTAAATATCTATTCCTGAAGAAAGAAGTGTTCACCTCCTGCCGACATTAATGAATTGCTAAATGCATACGCATTTTCGTTGTTTATTCATTTTTTAAATATCCAATGTTCATATAACTTCCAACGTTTTAGATCTTTCCGGAAATGCGTGGGGGCAAAAAGCAACTTTCGATGTAAACGCGCTTACGTCTGTTGACGTTGAAATCCCTTTTTCCTCTAAACAGAAGGCGCTGTTCAACCGTGCAGCAATCGGCGCATTGTTGGAAGGCAACGGTAAAATTATCTGCGCGTAGACTCAGTGAACATCGGCAAAACCGGAAACATCTTCCTCGAGAACGCCTGTCAAAACAGCCAGCTTCCAGGTAATCGAATGTGATTTTATTTCAAACGACATTTCATTGTCCCGTTTGGGTTCGCTTTTCATTTTAGCTGTTGCACCAAACGTCACTTTTCCGAAATCACACATGAAAGTAGAATGTGGCAGGATGGACAAAATTTGCTCATTGGACTCTTTGGATGCCCCCACGGAGCCAACGCCAGAAACAGCAGCATGGATAGGTAGCATACGCACGGGGTTTGCAGAATTTATAAGGCGTAGCCGACAAAACAGTTTCGCACATGCTGAACTTCATGACTCCCATCCGCATACAAATCCTTATCACCGGTGTTGTTGCTTGGCATGATAATTACTTCACTAGCTGTGTCACCTTTACTGCGACTAGAAGCAACGTTCATCGGTTCTCTCGATGTTGGGCTAATTGCTCTGCCCACGTATAGTCTGAATAATGGATGGATTGGGATAGACCATCGCGTTTGTTGGCGAACGACAGGCTATAAACCAGCTTGCAGGCAGCTAAGGACTCCAACATTTGCTGTTTGTCCTGGTCTTTCGCTCCCGGCAAACCTGGACGTGGTCAGAGTGCCATCTGTTGGACGCTATCCAGAGGTAAGGCCATATTACCCCCTGCTGGTGGTTAGTTGACCTCATTGCTTCTGACTGATGTATTTCGCACATTGACATAGCTACTAGGTCCGCAACCACATCAGATTCCGCACAAAATTATGGGCCATTTTTGGCGTGAAACAAACATCAGCGTCTAAGGTTATGTTATTCACATACTTTGTTTAGTTGCGATAACTTTCACTGTCCATCTAATTTATTCGTTGGGTAATCGTGTCAGAGCTTGCGGCGTTTGGGACAAGGTCTTACATAACCTCCAAGAACTGCTATTTCTCGTGGAAATAGAGTATTTTCATGAGTAACCGTTAAACGTAAAACAGTTCACCATTACAGGAAGAAGCATAAAGCGAAGCTACTTCTTTGCGCAGTCTGTGTAAGCGAATCGTTTTACAAAAAGAAGATAAAAATATAATTTATATTTCGCCGTTTTTAACTGCATGGCTTAGCGTTTCTCTCTTGTAATTAGGACCTCGCGCAAATCCATGCATTCCACAATTATGGTCGCAAAAATGAGTTCTAGCACAGTTTGAGCAGTTATTATGACTGGCTAGCCAGGCCTATTGAAAGTGAGGATAACGTTATTGTACAGCTACCTGCATTGGTTCCAGGTTCTTTATTTACTCTCATGTTTCTAACTATTAATAGATATGACTGAAACTCACCAAAGACAAGGGTCCATTTCGCTCAAATAAAAAAACGTTAATAGCGCCGAAAGAAAAATAGACTGCAAAAATCCTCCTGTAACATTCGATAGCAAATACATCACGCGCATTGACGGTTTGTAGGAAATGGTCGAACGCACAATGCAGTCTAAATCCAAAAAAACAGTTGTGGGCGTACCACTGCTTTTGATAAATTTCAGTCAAATTACTATATTTATACGGGAACGCAATTTTGAAATCATAACCAATTCGGCATTGTAAAATCTTTTTCACCGCTACCTATTTAAGCAAGCATACAACTGAATTAACCGGAGTTTAACTAACGGAAATAAGAGAGGGTGTTAAGGTCGACCTTGGAGTGTTTCCAGCAGTGATTCGATCACCCAAAATAACTAAGAATTGTGATGCCGAAGACGAAGATGCGATCACTGAAACAAGAAACTTGTTGACAGAACGTTTCGGATTCTCACTCGAACCCAGAATCTGAGACAGTCGCAGATAAGGGTAATGGTGGCACAAAGAGCGTAGTATTTATAGCACGTGGCTGCTGTGGGACCATATGCGTTCTGTAATTAACAGCTCTCGCAATCACCGCGGGAGTCGTAATTGAACCGATGGTGGATTGTCAGTCCGCGTCCGAGTCGTTAATGGTCGTGATTTCGTCATCCGTGTTGGATGCTGGTGTGACAATTGCTTGGTTCACTGTTACTGCCCGCGCCCTCCCCACGTGACTGATTCCCCTCCCCAGGGGAAATCTCAGCGCGGAATACGCCAGCGGGAGAGCATTGCGCTTGTTGATGAACTGCGGGCCTGAGAAGTATGACTCGAGCAGCTCGCGGCTCACGCGGTTGTCACCCCTTGCGAGGATTTCGGCCTCTTGAAATGTGAAAATATGGCCGGCTCCCGTCGAGTGTGCCGCCACCTGAGAGTTAACGTCTCCCCTCCTCACTGCTGCTGCTTGCTTGGAAATTCGCGTACGGAGTAATGTCCCAGTTTCTCCGACGTAGTTGCTTTGTCCGCTACTGCACCAGATCCGGCAAACGATTCCTGACGTTTCATACCGTGGCAGTTGGTCTTTCGGCCTCTTGACTTGGCGCCTGATGATTGCTTCCGGCCTATGTGGAGTGAGGAAACGGTTAGATTTGGTCTCTGATGTCGTTTTTGTATTCACTGGTTGACAAAGCCGCGCGGGTAGCCATCGGCTATCAGAACCCGTCAAAGATATTGTTATTCAGCAGTCTTGTCTTTCATTTCACTGCAGTGCGTCTCCACTCACCCCTATAGCGCCCTTACGCAACTGCGTTTGTGACTGATCCCGTGGTTGCTGTTGAAGTTCCGTATTTGCGTCGTATTCGTCGCTTTCCTGAACGCTTTGGTTTTTAGGTCACCACAAAATTTGCGGCAGACGAGGACATCCAGGAAGCCCAGTTGGTCGTTTTCTTCCTCCTCCATCGTAAATTGAATTTTCGGGAAGACGGCGTTAAGATGTTTTTTGAAGGTCAGCACCTCATCTCGTTCGATGACGACGAAGGTATCATCCACATACCGAGCCCAGAATTTTGGTCTGTGTTGCCGGAGAACCAGCGACTCCAACCGTTGTGAGACCGCCTCGGCTATGTGTCCCGAAATCGGCGAACCCATTGGCGTTTCCTTCACCTGCTCGTAGATTGTTACGTCGAACATAAAGTTCGTGTTAAGAAAGAACTTCAGGAGCTGGATGATTTGGGCGTGTCCGAGGCGATTCTTTGTTTCGTCGTTTTTCTCTCGTAGGAGAAGTTCGATGGTCTCGACTGCCAGGTCCTGCGAGATAGAAGTAAAAAAGGACGTGACATCTAAACAAACCATGACATCGCTTGGTAGGAGACTTTCTCCTTTAAGTTTGTCAAAGAATTGTGTTGACGAGCTGACTACGGTGTTCGAATTGGAGGTCAGACACTTGGGACGTCGAAACATATACTTTGCCAGTCCGTTGGTTGCATTGTCTTGTAGTGATACGGTAGGCCGGATAGGAGCGTCCGCTTTGTGTATTTTTGGCAGACCGTAAAATCGAGTTAGGGTCGTTTTTGCGCTCTTGCAATTCGTCGGCCGATTGACGATATTGCACCTGAGTTCTCCATTGCGAACAGTGTCCCGTTAATCTCGCCTGCCAGCGTTTTGATGGGGTTATATTCGCATGGGACATAGGACTAACGATACTCCAACAAAATTTTGACTCTCTGAATGCAGTCTGTCCTGTCCAATACGACCGTGGAACGCCCCTTGTCCGTAGGCACGATAACGAGGTCGACCTTGGAAAGCACGTCGTGCGGCCTGAAAACCAGGACACGGTCATATTTTCAAGTTTCAAGAGGACGAAATCCTCGCAAGGGGTGACAACCGCGTGAGCCGCGGGTTGTTCGAGTCATGGTTCTTAGGCCATTAGCCCAACAATAAGCTCATTGACCTCCCTTTAGTGTATTCCGCGCTGTGATTTTCCCTAGGCAGGGGAATCAGTCCCGTGGGGAGGGTGGGCGAACAATTATCCCAGTGACAGTGAGTTAATTTGCCGAGCAATCTTGGCACCAGCATCCAACACGGATTGCGAAATCACGGCAATGAACGACTCGGACGCGGGCGAACAATCCAACTTCGCATACAATTACGTCCCCGTCCGCGAATCCTCGTTCATTGTCTAAAGGTGTATTCCCGATGGAGCTTGGGCAGCATTTTCGGAAAAGGTTTGCCAACTTTAGAGGGGACGTCTACATGTGTTCCATGCGGGTTTTAATTTAAAATAAAGGCAGGCTTTACAAATATGGCCTACTACTATTTGAATTAGAAGCTCGACCTTTTATTTTCGCTAAAGTAATGTTGGTTTTAACGGATGAAGGTTATATGAGTTCCTACTGGATGCTTGAATGTCGCTCTAAACTCATGATTTTAGTGAAGGAACAGAAGCAGGAGAATATTGTAATTCGTATTGGAAGTTTTCGTCTTCACAGAAACCAAAAAAATGCAAAGGCGGCAGGCAGTCAATATTTTTCCAAATCTTTTTCCATACAGTGACGCTGGTTGCGGCCGTCACAGAAAAAGGCGCAAATAATTTCGCGAAAATAGCGCATCAAATTATCTTGGATCGTTTTGCAGAGTCGTGTCAAACCTGCAACGGTTTCTGAAAGTTGTTAGATTTTTAAAAGACTTTGATAGTTGCATACGGAATGACAACGGTTTCAGTAAGATCTAACGTGCATCGGTATTGCAAGTGGCACTTACCGTCGTTCACTATCTGCTAAGATTGCTTTAACAGTAAGGCTGGGGCACAAATCTGGTACCACACTGCTTTTTCAAGAAATGACCTGTCTTCAACACGTGGGTGTGGAAAAGATCCACGTAGCCATTATGTAGAAACCTCATAGTGTTATGTAAAAACAAGGCTCATTTGCACTATCGAAGCGTCCACTCGTACACAGTAAACTCCACCTAACACACCGACATCAAGCACATCACCCGATAGTTCTTTAGATTCAGAATCTTAACCTTTTTGCAAAATCGTCGCTACTAACTATGGACAAAGTCATACAACGAACTGCATGCGGACTCCAGCTGATAAGAATCAGGCAGGTTACAGGCTATGGCGCATTACTCTGTCTGTGATTTCAGTCGCGCATCCGTATTCATCTCAAAAGACTGCTATTAAATAGCTGAGTTCGGCTGCCCATGGGGGGTTCGGCCTGGTGTCTCCAAAATATATCCCAAGCTCTACAGTTTCCCGGGGTCTAATTTTTATTGAAACGATAATGGCAGTGACTGGCTGCTTATCTTCCACCTTATACAGCCAGTTTAGGTAGGAATCAACTTTTAACTCCACAAGAGCTTGACTAGCTCATTAGGCTTTTGCCCGATTTCAACAACTATAGAAACAAGCTGCAAATTATGAGGGCATGAAGTTTGGCTGTGTTCGCCTCCACTGGCCCTAAGCTTTATTCTGAGATTGGCTATCAGAAGTGCTGCGCTAGGCGAGCTAATGTCTGCTTGCCAGACGCAAAGTAGCCCGGGATTTGGTCAAAATTAATGGTCTTGCACTTGTAGCGCGACATAAAACGGTTGCCTCAGACGATGGGGGATCTGTATCTAAAAATCAGCTAACTTTTGCACAGTTGGCTTATTTGACTAATTTAACCGGATTTATGGGAAAGATACTAGAGATATAACTTTGAAGTCGTCGTCCTTAAACATTACCTGAAGTATACTTGGCGACCAGTCCACGTACATTCAGCCACAATCTCACATGTTCAAACGTGTATTAGACCGATCAGTGAACGGCGCTTAATATGTCCTGCTAACAGTCAAGCAAATGTTGGTTGCTACGTCAAGTCTAACGAAGGTAAATGTTCAAAGAAGAAATGCGCTCAAAAATGTAAGTAAATGCACATGCATAAAGACCTTGTGGTATAATCGTATTTGCTAAGACTCAGTGTAAAAAACAGCTGAATTTGCACGCAGTGACGAAACCCTGCAGGCTAGACCCCAGGTTTTTTTGGTTTCTCCTGGATATTGATCCGTAACCGGGGCAGATCTGTGACCCATTACCTTTATATGACAATAGTTGGTTCGGTTGACTGTCTGCGCAATCACCCACCTCTTGTAATATGAGATATCACTCTTCGTAGTCTTCGTGGTTGAACATGGATTTAACCAAAAGATGGCCATATATTATGTTGAACATCCATATTTGAGGAAGTTGACTGTTTTGACAGTAGGTGTTCGCCTGCTAAAGTCCCAAATACCATAATGAAATGTTTCTTTACCCCTGTGCGGTGTGATATGACTAGGTGGCTAGAGCCCGCCCCTGAGGCGTCATAAACAAACTTCTTTGTAAATCCATTTCGGAAAATCTGTACACACGTAAATATGGGTCAAAAATTTAAAGTTACATTTAAGTAATATACAAAAAGAAGGCGGTTGAAACGAAATGATTTTATTTTACTTACAAACGTTAATAAAAAACGGATCACTAATAGGCAGATTCAGCTTATAATGCAGACTTATCCCTCTTTACGCACCACATTTTAGTATGTGGCTAAGAGTGTCCTCAAAAAATGGTCCTGCGTTCTGTGGACCAATAACTTGTTATGGTTCGCAAGCATGTTTGCATAGTTTTTCCATTCATTGACACACTTAGGGAATCGTCTAGTTTTAACTTGGCTCGATGCGAATTAACCATATTTCTTCATTAATTAAGCAGCGGAGCTATATGATAGTGTTGGAAATGTAACTACCGGTGAAGCACGGACGACTATTAGAAGGCAATGCTAGCAAAACATTTTTCTTACCAAGAATCACACAAGACTGACATAGAAGATTCTCCCGTGGCACAAAAATAAGGACGTTTTTATCGTCTCGGTGCATAGGAATACCGTTTGCGCCTAAATCCACAGTTTGCTCACTCTGGCTTAACTCCAAATGGTCTTTCGACATCATATTTTTTTAAAATATCAGTCTATCGCATTAGGTAGTTCTAATATGCAGTCGGCGTGAGCAAAAATTCAAAATATTCCGATCGCTAGTTACGTGAATTAGAAGCACTTGTAACATAACTTATTGGAAAATAATATTGTAATTTATCAAACGGATGTGACGGACGACAAAGAAGGAATTAGTAGGGAATATTTTAGTGGAAGCCAAGTGCACAGAAAATAGCTGCCTTGCACCTACTTAGTTTGGCCTCCAATTATATAATTCCCGGCCTCATACAGCATCTCTATCCCATTTCGAAACAATTGCGGTTCTTAAGATCTTCATTTGCCATGTAGGATGGCGGGTCGTTTTCACCGATCTGAGAATACACAAATACCGAACGCATACCTACACACTTTTCTTCCTTTCGGAAGATAGCTGACAGCAGGCAGCTTGATCTTCGAAAAATGAGCACGAAATGTCAACATTTTCATCTGTAAAATTTTGCCTTGTACCTTCACAGTTGCTTTTATTTTTCTTAGCAAAAACGTAGGTAGGAAAAACCGTTTTGAACCTTTTTAATCCCTACATTTTTCGCCCTTACGGTCACAAAAATTCACCTATTTGACACTAAGTGAAAAATATGAGACGACTGGTAATTACCAATAATCTGTAAGATAACCACAAGAGTGTAACATAGCCAAGCATAGCTCCTGTTACGTATCAGTAAAAATCTCCTACGAAGCCTGTGCAAGGTGCATTAGACTTGGATCACAATTTAACGAAAAGGAAAGGCATTATAAACATTGTGCCTAGTGTTCGACAGAATTTGCAACCGATTGCTCATTAAAAAATTTAGGGCCGCGGCTTGCTAAGTGCGCCTATTAAAGTTTGGGCAACGTTGTTCGCCTCCGCAATAATACAGTCGAATGTTAGCCTAGTTGGGTTCCATTTACAAGATGCAAAATAAAAAATGTTTATATCAAGAAACACTTAGCATAAGCGTAAGAAATAGGCGTATACCTATGCAAGTGAACGAATAAAAAGATTGTTTAACGGTGCAATTTGATGGGAACTAACTGTTAAGTTATTAAAGAAAAATTTGAAAAATGGCGAGTTTAAGAGAACACAATAACCTACTGACAAGAATGCCTACAGCATATATTTCCTATTTGGCTATCCGCCTACGATGGAGCTTTAGGAATTATGCGGGCATCTTGAAGGTTTCGTCCAAGGTTTGCCAATTTAATCAACTAATCCAGCATGGTTTATTCTGTTTTCGTCGAATATCCGAATGTGTTTTTATTAAAGATGATGTTTGTTTTAAACATTTTAATGCCCGTTTTTGGCGACCTGGGTGCATTTCATATGAAGATGACATTTAAAGTACACCATTAGAACACATTTTGCTCTCTGTTGAACGGGACATCTTTGCGAAAACAAACAAACCTAATCCACATACGCGGGCAAACCGGGTAATCGAATGACTTCAGGCAGCTGACAAGGCAAAATAAAAA